GTTATTACTCCTCAGTGCTTCTTTATTTTTATTTAAGGCTTAGCTTTGATTTTACGGTACACCATCCATTTTCTTTGGCAAATTACTTGTGGAGATGTTTCAAAGCTTACTGGAAGTGACATTCCCTACACAGCCTCTGCTCGATCCCAGCCCTCCTCTTTATCTGCCAGACTTCATATATGTGCCCACTCCAGCAGTTACAAATTAAAATATATAGCTTTTTTTACTTCCTAGGAGGGTGTGCACTCTTTGTAAGTGGATTTTTGCTGGCACTTTCTAAAAGTTGCCACTGCTTGGCCCTTCAATTTCCTACGTTATCTACTTTGGGCAGATTTTCACTATCTCATGTTTTCACTGAAATTGGAGATTGTATGTTTCATTCTCATTGTTAATTTGAGTAAGAACAGAGGGGAAAGCTTCTTTGCTCTGCTATCACCATGCTCATATTGGTAACAAAGTCCTAGTTTCTATAAAAACCCAAATGTGTAAATGAGCTTACACTGGTTGCACTACAGAAGGAGAAAAGGAAAGAGTTTTTGAGAATTGACACAGTAAAGAGAAGAGATTTTCCTTTACCAAAAAGAAAGATCTGTGAGCCCTAAGCCATGGGATCCCTGTGGGATTTGTCATCACGGGGTAAGGAGAGACCCTGAGGGGCTCTTCCCAGGAGAGGGTCACCCAGCAGCCCAGGAAGGGGGGACCTGAGGCACTCAGGTTTCCAGACTTGTCACAAATTCTAGAACTTCATGAGTGGCCCAGAAGCAGAGAGAGAACCTTCCTCAGCAGGCACAATGGTAGACTGGTAAGAGAAGCATTCTCTTCTCTTTCCAAACACAGCATTAGCTTATAGGATTCTGTTGCTCCTTGGGAAGGAGAACATGCCCCAGTTATGCTTAAGAAGGGATTTCCTACCAGTCCGTATGATGGAGACTTGGAGCCAGATATTAAATTGATGTATAGGAAATAAAAAGCATCCTAATTGTCATGCTTCTGAGTTTGTAAACTAGGACCCATGACTACTATAGAAATTATAATCACAATTAGAGAGGAAGGACAAAGTAATATGGACACAGAGGATGGGATTCCTTAACGCTGACTGATGGTGAGAATGTCAAGCTTGGTCTTAGAAGTTGAATAGGAGTTTTCCAGGCAAGGAGGGAAGTAACTTTCAAGCAAATAAAACAACATGGGTAAAGGTCTGGAGAATGGTATATTTGCAAGGTTTCAATCAATTGATATGGTTGAGCTTGCAAATATTCATGTTTACTTTATAACCATTTTTTTTGCATATTTATAAGCTTAGTAATCAGTTTAATTGATACCCTTCAGTCTCTGTCACGGAGGCATGGAAAGAGCCAGGAAAGCTCATGTTACATTTCTGGCACTTCAGACTCATTGTGGTAGAGAATCAAGATTAATTTCTGAACTTGAGGGCCTTTGCTTAGTATAGTTTATTCCATTGCCTTGAGGGAATTAAAATGAATCTCCTTTTAAAAAACATCAGCATGAAGGAGGACCCACTTTGCTATGTTTCTCTGCTTCTAAAAGTAATTTAAAATGTAACTGTTCAAAAGTGTGATCAGTCCTGATAACCATAGGATAAACCTAACTCTGGTAGGCTTCTGGAAAGCTTCTCTTCTTTATTAAAGACCAATTAACTTAGCTCTCCAAGATACTATATATTACCTAGAGTCACAAAGAAGTTGCATTATCCTTTGGTATAACAAATGCATCACTTAAATATTCACCTGAGTCTGCTTGACAGGTTTATATGAAAACACAGTAGAACTTGAAGGCCATCCACATCATCATGGAACCATTACTATAATTTGCTGGCTAAAATATAAGATTTATCCCATCAGGTAAAAGTGCTCTTCACCCCCTCTTGACTTTGCCCAAGAAACAGGAAAACATGAAAAGGTGCCCGGATTGTGCTAGACAATTGTGGTGCCCCATGAAATCAGCCACATTCTGGTTTTGGCTTTTGTGTTTGCACTTTCTTTCCATTCTTCAGTATTTCCAAGGGATATACATGGTAGGTTTCTGGATTAGGGTTCACATTGTTCTCTCCACAGGAAAAAACACTTCTTTCCACCAAACCTTTAAGAGTCTATTTGCCTTCTTTGTACTATGTACTCTGTTCATTTTTGCCTTTTCGGCAAACTCGGAAATAAACACAGCTTCTCTCTCCTTTTTCCAGTTTTCAGGGTGTATCTATTATATAAAGGGGTTGGACGGAGGTAGTCCCAGAATCTGGACCATGTCCAAGAAAATGAGGGCTATGCTAATGAAGTAAACAAGAATCAACACAAAATGGATCAAATTCATATTTACACCACCTCCCCTTCTGAGGAGAAGGACTGTAAATACACAGCCGGATAGAATTGGGACACATCCAACTCCAATCTGTGTGGTGGGGGCAGAGGGGCAGGATTATGTTCAGTATTGAAACATATTGTTGTAGAGAAGTTTGTAGAAAGAGAGGAATAGAGTGTAATTATTTGTATTTATTCCATACTTATATGAGCTGAATCAGGGATAATTTAATATTCTAATCACTTAAAAGGGTGTATTGTAATTTAAGGCAGGGATGATTCATGCATTTAATAGACACAGAGCACTTACTATGAGTCAGGCAGCATGCCAAGAACTAAATATACAGAGGAGCACAAAATGATCTCTACCTCCAATGAGCTTGCAATTTAGCAACGAGCAGTACTGATCTATGTTTAATTATGCATTATTCACTCAGTACCCCACTCTGACAGAAGCCCCTCTGAGGGCAGGGAAAATGACTGAGCTGTTTGCCAGTTTATCCCCAGTGCCTGACTCTGTGTCTGGCACACAAGAGATGCTTAACAACTCTGCTTAATAAATGACTGTGTTTAGTCATTATCTGCTTTGTGCCAGGCACCACACAATAAGCATTATCAAGGACTAAATGTGGTTCATCACTCTCCCACAGCCTGCTGAAACGTATCAACTCTTCTTACCCCTAAGGTGATCTGTTGACCACTTTAGGAAAAAAACAAAAAAACAAAACTACTTTTAACTTCAAATCACTAAAGCTCTATTTCTTGATGTGCTTTCAAACTTAGATGTAAAATGTAGCATTTCTAAGGACTGGATTAGTCTTTTCAGCATGGATTGGTAAAAGGTAAACCATGACAAGGATGGCTTCTATTTATTGAAATGATATTTACTGATCACTATATGCCAGGACCATTGGGCATTTATAAGATAATTTTAGGGAACATATAGGCTAACCTAAAATTTTTGTTGCATATAAATTCATTTTAATGTGTTTTAGGGAAAAAAAATGTAACCACATCAATGATTTCATGGATTTTATGAATATAGTTTAGAATGAGGCTACGTTCCCTCCAGCCCAAAATGACCTGATTTAAAGAGAATTTAAAGAAAAAAAAATGTTAAGTATATAAGGGTATAGGTGGGACCTGCATATGACGAGAACAGGAAGGTGGTGCGCAAGATTTGACTGCTTGGGACCATCTGTGTGATCTCACGAGGTACCTGAAAACATGTGGAGGAAGACAGTAGGTACAGGGTCACTGTGTGTATGCCTAGGGGCTGTGGAGCAAGATAACTGGGTTCAAATTCTGCTATCCTATTTATTTCATTCTTTGAGCTTAGGCAAACGTCTCCAAGTTTTGGCTCCTTCATCTGCAAAATGTGATGATACTATCCACCTCACAGTGGCAGAACTGAGATTCAAACACAGGTCTCTTTGATATCAAAGCCAGGCCATGGCCTCTCCTAGGCTAGCAGATGGGTTTTATCTCATGTGCCAATTTGAAGGGTTAGAAGAAGCTGCCAGTGGCACAGAGTTGTCAAGTATATGAGGCTAATTGAGGAAAGCAACAAATGGACAGAAGATGTCTGCCTTCATATGTGTCCCCTGCATGGCACGCAGTGGCTGTCCACCATGGCCTCAGTGACAAGTTCCCAAAAGAACAAGTCGATGAGATTCAGCATGAAGTACAGTGAGAGTGTGAGTCGTTTTCTTTTTACAGTTTCTTTATATTGCCACCAATACTAAGAGAGACATGCCATTATCTAGAATAAGATTTCTGCTTTAAAACTAACATGTTGTATAAAAGTGTTTTACAGTAATCAAATGTTATGTACCTCTTCAGTTACCTTCTACTAAAATCATCTAAACATTTCAGTAAACACCAGGTGTCAGATTTTCTGAAAAAGGAATGAGAAGAAACAATATTTTTTTTCTCATACCAGTGTACTTTTATTTTTATTTTTCTAATTTAAATTCAATTAGCCAACATAAAGTACATACTTAGTTTCAGATGTGGTGTTCAATGATTCATCAGTTGCGTATAACCGCCAGTGCTCATCACATCATGCGCCCTCCTCAATGTTCATTACCCGGTTACCTCATCCCTCTACCCACCTCCCCTCCAGCAACCCTCAGTTTGTTTCCCATAGTTAAGAGTCTCTCATGGTTTATTTCCCTCTCTGATGACTTCCCACTCAGTTTTCCATCTCTTCCCCTCTGATCCTCTGTGCTGTTTCTTATATTCCACATATGAGTGAAACCACATGATAATTGTCTTTCTCTGATTAACAATATTTTTTTAAAAAAATTTAATTCCAGTGTAGATAACATACAATGCTATATCAATTTCAGGTGTACAACATAGTGATTCAACAATTTTATACATTCTTCAGTGCTCATCATAAGTGTACTCTTAATCCCCTTCACCTATTTCACCCATAAGAAGAAACAATGTGTGTCCCTACCTCAGCTATCATAGACTAATCTTGGTCAGTTGTTGGTTGACTCTTCTCCCAACAGTTGAAGTTCTCAAAAGCAAAGAATGGGCCCAGTAAAAGCTGACCCTTCCCAAGTGTTTGCTTGAGTATGAGGGGAGAGCAAACACACTATCACCATCAGATCAATAGCCTTTTGAAGACACCATGGAACGATAGACACATGTTGGCCCCATCTGGAGGCCACAAACTCAGTCTCCTCCTTCATGGTAGCTACTTTCTGCGAACAATACTCGTTCAGTCCTGCCATCATCTTGGTACTCATCTAGCCATCTGCCATGGGAAGAGGGAAGATAATTAATACGAGAGAGAATTTAAAGGCACATTACTTAGAATTGAAAATAAAATACAGAAAGAATTTAAAGAGGCCTTCAGGGAGAACCACAGAAATTTTAAAAACATTTAAGATTTCATGCTACACCAAATGATCTTTAGGAGTGTAACTTCAGCAAATCTTTGCCCTATACTTTAGTTGCAAGGTTACATTGATTTATCCAAAAATGCTGGATTTTTGGAACTTCCTATGGTAACATTACAAATATTCTCATATAAAATCAGTAAAAATTTCTCATTTGGGGTTTCCTAGTGGAAGCCTTTATGTCTCTCCTTTCATGTGACTGGTATGTGTATGCAGTGGCTCAATCTAGAACAGCACTCTTCAAGAGAAATATAACACAAGCCATGTATATAAAAACAGTAAAAATTAAAGAGGTGAAATTATTTTTAGTATTTTTCATTTTAATAAATATAAAATATATGAATGTTTGTTCCCTCCACCCCCTACGCAAATTCATATGTTGAAATTTTCTGGGCTGTGGTTTAAGTCATGAGGTCCCTCCTGAATGAGATTAATGCTTTTATAGACAAGGCTCCAGAGAGATCCCTTGCTTCCTCCACCACATGAGAACAGAGCAAGTAGGCAGTTTGCAGCTTGTAGAGGGCCTTTATCAGAACCCAATCCTGCTGGCACCCCGATCTTGGGCTTCCAGCCTCCAGAACTGTGAGAAATAAATCTGTTGTTTATAAGCCACCCAGTCTATGGTATTTTGTTATAGCAGCCCAAACAGACTAATACAATTACATTCTTTATTCATTCTACATCTTTGATATCTGACATGTACCTTATACCTACATCACCTCTCAGGTCAGAATAAGCGCAGTTCAGGAGTTCAGTAGACATATAGCTGGTGGCCCCCATATTGGACAGTGCAGTTCTAGAAACACATCCACCTCCATCTGAATGCTGATTCTGCTAATCACAGTTGGGTAAGAAGTTTCATCTCTTTGTCCCTCAGCTTCCTCATCTGTGAACCACACATATCAGAGCCTCCTAGAAGTCAGCTGTGAGGATCACGGAGCTGCTGTGTGAAGCTCTGGCTCCATTGTGGAACCCATTCCATGATAGGAGTGCACCACATGCTAGCGATTGGCACTCCTTGATTTTCTCCCCGCCAAGCAGAAGACCAATGTGTAACCTTAGAGACCCCACAACAGAGTAAATGCCCCCATGTTTGCTTTTTTTATTCCACAATAAAGTCCTAAATAATTTCCTCTCCAGAGACCTTTTCTTTTCTCATCAGTAGAAGGGAACTTGAGTCTAAATGGCTAAGGTATGCTGGGAAAACTAGCAAAACCTGTGTCTTCTAAACACTCCAAATCTCAGTAGAATTTCCAACAAACCAGTTTTATAGTAAACTCAGTAATTTGCACAGGGACTTCTTCCTTAGAAGAAGGACAAAATCTGCACAAAATCCTGGTGATAGACACTAAATTAAAATTCCCAAAAAGTGTCAAAGAGACCAAGAGACACGACTAACTCACCTATAACTTTTTCTAAATTAACATATAATGTATTATTTGTTTCAGGGGTACAGGTCTGTGATTCATCAGTCTTATACAATTCACAGCACTCACCATAGCACATACCCTCCCCAATGTCCATCACCCAGCCACCCCAGCCTTCCGACGCCACTCCTCTCCAACAACCCTCAGTTTGTTTCATGAGATTAAGGGTCTCTTATGGTTTGTCTCCCTCTCTGGTTTCATCTTGTTTCATTTTTCCCTCCCTTCCCCTATGATCCTCTGTCTTATTTCTCAATTTCCTCATATCAGTGATCATATGATATTTGTCTTTCTCTGATTGACTTATTTTGCTTAGCATAATACCCTCTAGTTCCATCCATGCCATTGCAAATGGCAGGATTTCATTTTATTGATGGCTGCATAATATTCAATTATATATATATATATATATATATATATATATATATATATATATATATATATATCCCACATCTTCTTTATCCATTCATCTGTTGATAGACATCTTGGCTCTTTCCATAGGTTGGCTATTGTGGACATTGCTGTTATAAACATTGGGGTGCAGATGCCCCTTCAGATCACTACATTTCTATCTTTGGGGTAAACACCCAGTAGTGTAATTACTGGGTCATAGGGTAGCTCTATTTTCAACTTTTTGAGGAACCTCCATACTGTTTTCCAGAGTGGCTGTACCAGTTTACATTCCCACCAACAGTGTAGAAGGGTTCCCCTTTCTCCACATCCTCACCAACATCTGTCATTTCCTGACTTGTTAATTTTAGCCATTCTGACTGGTGTGAGGTGGCATCTCATTGAAGTTTTGATTTGTATTTCCCTGATGCTGAGTGATGTTGAGCACTTTTTCATGTGTCTGTTGGCCATTTGGAGGTCTTCTTTGGAAAAATGTCTGTTCGTGTCCTCTGCCCATTTCTTGATTGGATTATTTGTTCTCTGGGTGTTGAGTTTGATAAGTTCTTTATAGATTTTGGATACTAGCCCTTTATCTGATATGTCATTTGCAAATATCTTCTCCCATTCTGTCGGTTGTCTTTTGGTTTTGTTGACTGTTTCCTTTGCTGTGCAAAAGCTTTTTATCTTGATGAAGTCCCAGTAATTCATTTTTGCCCTTGCTTCCCTTGCCTTTGGCAATGTTTCTAGAAAGAAGTTCCTGCGGCTGATTTCGAAGAGGTTGCTGCTTGTGTTCTCCTCAAGGATTTTGGTGGACTCCTATCTCACAATTAGGTCTTTTATCCATTTTGAGTCTATTTTTGTGTGTGGTGTAAGGAAATGGTCCAGTTTCATTCTTCTGCATGTGGCTGTCCAATTTTTCCAACACAATTGGTTGAAGAGACTGTCTTTTTTCCATTGGATATTCTTTCCTGCTTTGTCGAAGATTAATTAACCATAGAGTTGAGAGTCCATTTCTGAGCTCTCTATTCTGTTCCATTGATCTATGTGTCTGTTTTTGTGCCAGTACCATACTGTCTTGATGATCATAGCTTTGTAATAGAGCTTGAAGTCCGGAATTGGGATGCCACCAGCTTTGCTTTTCTTTTTCAACATTCCTCTGGCAATTCCAGGTCTTTTCTGTTTCCATACAAATTTTAGGATTATTTGTTCCATTTCTTTGAAAAAAAGTTGATGGTATTTTGATAGGGATTGCATTAAATATGTAGATTGTTCTAGGTAGCATAGACATTTTCACAATATTTGTTCTTCCAATCTATGAGCATGGAATGGTTTTCCATTTCTTTGTGTCTTCCTCAATTTCTTTCATGCATATTCTGTAGTTTTCTGAGTACAGATCCTTTACCTCTTTGGTTAGATTTATTCCTAGGTATCTTATGGTTTTGAGATCGACTTATGTAAATGGAATCAACTCCTTAGGGAATTTCTCTTTCTTCTGTCTTGTTGTTGGTGTATAGAAATGCCACAGATTTCTGTGCATTGATTTTATATCCTGCCATTTAATGAATTCCTGTATGAGTTCTAACAGTTTTGGGATAGAGTCTTTTGGGTTTTCCATATAAAGTATCATATCTGCAGAAAGTGAGAGTTTCACTTCTTTGCCGATTTGGATGCCTTGTATTTCTTTTTGTTGTCTGATTGCTGTGGCTAGGACTTCTAGTACTATATTGAATAGCAGTAGTGATAATGGACATCCCTGCCGTGTTCCTGACCTTAGGGAGAAAGCTCTCAGTTTTCCCCCATTTTGAATGATATTCGCTATGGGTTTTTCATAGATGGCTTTTTTGATATTGAGGTATATGCCCTCTATCCCTACACTGTGAAGAGTTTTATCAAGAAAGGATGCTGTACTTTGTCAAATGCTTTTTCTGCATCTATTGAGAGGATCATATGGTTCTTGTTCTTTCTTTTATTAATGTATTATATTACATTGATTGATTTGCAGATGTTGAACTAACCTTGCGGCCCAGGAATAAATCCCACTTGGTCATGGTGAATAATCCTTTTAATGTACTGTTGGATCCTATTGGCTAGTATTTTGGTGAGAATTTTTGCATCCATGTTCATCAGGGATATTGGTCTGTGTTCTCCTTTTTGATGGGGTCTTTGTCTGGTTTTGGGATCAAGGTAATCCTGGCCTCATAAAATGAGTTTGGAAGATTTCTTTCCATTTCTGTTTTTTGGAACAGTTTCAGAAGAATAAGTATTAATTCTTTAAATGTTTGGTAGAATTCCCCTGGGAAGCCATCTGGCCCTGGGCTCTTGTTTGTGGGGAGATTTTTGATGACTGCTTCAATTTCCTTACTGATTATCAGTCCGTTCAGGTTTTCTATTTCTTCCTGGTTCAGTTTTGGTAGTTGATACATCTCTAGGAATGCATCCATTTCTTCCAGCTTATCTAATTTGCTGGCATATAGTTGCTCATAATATGTCCTTATAATTGTTTGTATTTCTTTGGTGTTGGTTGTGATCTCTCCTCTTTCATTCACGATTTTATTTATTTGGGTCCTTTCTCTTTTCTTTTTGATAAGTCTGGCCAGGGGTTTATCAATCTTATTAATGCTTTCAAAGAACGAGCTCCTAGTTTCGTTGATCTGTTCTATTCTTCTTTTGGTTTCTATTTCATTGATTTCTGCTCTGATCTTTATTATTCCTCTTCTCCTGCTGGGTGTAGGCTTTATTTGCTGTTCTTTCTCCAGCTCCTTTAGGTGTGGGGTTGGGTTGTGTATTTGAGAGCTTTCTTATTTCTTGAGGAAGACTTCATTGCTATATACTTTACTCTTAGGACCACCTTTGCTGCATCCCAAAGATTTTGAACAGTTGTGTTTTCATTTTCATTTGTTTCCATGAATTTTTTTAATTCTTCTTTAATTTCCTGGTTGACCCATTCATTCTTTAGTAGGATGCTCTTTAGCCTCCATGTATTTGAGTTTTTTCTGACTTTCCTCTTGTGATTGAGTTCTAGTTTCAAAGCACTGTGGTCTGAAAATATGCAGGGAATGATCCCAATCTTTTGGTACTGGTTGAGACCTGATTTGTGACCCAGGATGTGATCTATTCTGGAGAATGTTCCATGGGGACTAGAGAAGAATGTGTATTCTGTTGCTTTGGGATGGAATGTTCTGAATACATCTGTGAAGTCCACGTGTTCCAGTGTGTCACTTAAAGCCTTTAATTCCTTGTTGATCTTTTGCTTAGATTATCTGTCCATTTCAGTGAGGGAGGTGTTAAAGTCCCCTACTATTATTGTATTATTGTTGATGTGTTTCTTTGACTTTGTTATTAATTGGCTTATATAATTGGCTGCCCCCATGTTAGGGTTATAGATATTTACAATTGTTAGATCTTCTTGTTGGATAGATCCTTTACTTATGATATAGTGTCCTTCCTCATCTCTTATTATAGTCTTTGGTTTAAAATCTAATTTGTCCGATATAAGGATTGCCACCCCAGCTTTCTTTTGGTGTCCATTAGCATGGTAAATGTTTTTCCACCCCCTCACTTTCAATCTGGAGGTGCTTTGTGTCTAACATGAGTCTCTTGCAGACAGCATATCAATGGGTCTTGTTTTTTTTTGTTTTTTTTTTTTTATCCAATCTGATAGCCTATGTCTTTTGATTGGGGCATTATGCCCATTTACATTCAGAGTTACTTTTGAAAGATATGAGTTTAATGTCATTGTATTATCTGTAAGGTGACTGTTACTGTAGATTGTCTCTGTTCCTTTCCAGTCTATGTTACTTTTAGGCTCTTTCTTTGCTTAGAGGACCCCTTTCAATATTTCCTGTAGGGCTGGTTTGGTGTTTGCAAATTCTTTTAGTTTTTGTTTGTCCTGGAAGCTTTTTATCTCTCCTTCTATTTTTAATGACAGCCTAGCTGGATATAGTATTCTTGGCTGCATATTTTTCTTGTTTAGTGCTCTGAATATATCATGCCAATCCTTTTTGGCCTGCCACGTCTCTGTGGATATGTCTGCTGCCAACCTAATATTTCTACCATTGTAGGTTGCAGACCTCCTCCTGAGTTGCTTTCAGGGTTTTTTCTTTGTCTCTGAGACTTGTAAGCTTTACTATAGATGTTGGGGTGTTGACCTATTTTTGTTGATTTTTTTTTTCTATTTTTGTTGATTTTGAGGAGGGTTCTCTGTGCCTCCTGGATTTTGATGCCTGTTTCCTTCTCCAAATTAGGGAAGTTCTCCAGTATAATTTGCTCCAGTATACCCTCTGCCCCTCTCTCTCTTTCTTCTTCTTCTGGGATCCCAATTATTCTACTATTGTTTCATCTTATGGTATCACTTATCTCTCAAATTCTCCCCTCATGTTTCGGTAGTTATCTCTCTTTTTCTCAGCTTCTTTATTCTCCATCATTTGGTCTTCTATATCACTAATTCTCTCTTCTGCCTCATTTATTCTAGCAGTTAGAGCCTCCATTTTTTATTGCACCTTATTAATAGCCTTTTTGATTTCAACTTAGTTAGATTTTAGTTCTATTCTTTCTCCAGAAAGGGATTCTCTAGTATCTTCTATGCTTTTTTTAAGCCCAGCTGGTATCTTTATACTCTAGTTCTTACATCTTACTAATATCCATATTGATTAGGTCCCTGGCAGTCAGTACTGCCTCTTATTCTTTTTTATTTTTATATTTTGAGGTGAGTTTTTCCATCTTGTCATTTTATCTTACAGAAAGTGGTCACTTTTCTGTTCATATAATTGCTGCTAATCTTTTCTTCAATCTCTTATTGAGTTTGTAGGTGTTCATAATGGTTTGATAACTATCTAGCTGAATAAGTGAGATCAGATGAAATTTAGGTCTCCTACTCCTCCACCATCTTGTTCCTCCCCTAACTCATCTATAACTTGTGCACATCATCTAATCTCTTTAGGTGACACTTTTCTCTTTGTCAGTGAGGCACAAGACTAAATGTTATTATGGTTTCTTCACCTTTAAGGGAATAATATTAAGAAAATTTCCCTCTTTTCTTACTCAAGTAACCCAGGGCTCTCAAAGAGAATAAACAAGGGAAACCCTGTTAATACTCTTATAGTTCATTTGATGATAGTGCAATGGTATATCTGTGTGTGGTACTTAATATAATGTAGTTTCATGCAGTAAAATGTTTAAGTCTTTTTACTCATATCATTTTGTTTCTTACATATCCAATTTTTAAGATTTGTAATTATTCCAAAACGTTGGCAGGCCCTAAAGAATAAAGTCACCTCCATCTTGACTTCTACTCCTTTATATTACCAGTAAAATTAGTTTCAGCTCTGAAGAGAATATGACTATTATCACCTGTTCTGGATGATTCTTGATTTTTAAAATGTGACACATTTGTAAAAATAAAACTCTTCTATTTGCTCCTTACATTATTCCATAGTAACCATAGTATACAGAGCAATAAAACTATGTCGTGTAACATTAAACATAACTTCATATGATATCAAATATCTAGATGTGATATAGAACCAAATGTTGTATATATGCTGCCCAATAGAGTAGCCATTATCTGTGGTTATTGAGTGCTTGAAATATAGCTAGCATAACCCAGGAACTGAATTTTTCATTTCATTTTATTTTAATTTATATATATATATATATTAGCTATAGGTAGTTAGTAGCTACCATATTGGACCATGCATATCTAGATTTTTAAAAATATAAGTTAGTGGGGCGCCTGGCTGGTGCAGTCAGTTCTTGGTTTCAGCTCAGGTCATGATCTCAGTGTCCTGGGATCGAGACCCAAGTGGGGCTCTGTGTTCAGCACAGAAGTCTGGTGAAGTTTCTCTCTCCATCTCTCAATGCTCCTCTCTCTCTCTCTCTCTCAAATACATAAATAAATCTTTAAAAAATAAATAAATAAAATTTAATAAATTATCTGGAGACTTCTAATTACTTGACATATGATCTAGAAATAAAAGTGAGCTTTTCTACTTCATTTGTAAGTATGGCATTGTATCTAAAGATTTTTTTTAATTCAAAATTGCTCCTATGATAATAACATTTATTATCATGGAGCTTCTAATAATTGCAAAGTACTTTTGCAGTTACTTTATGTACACTGTGTGAAGTCTTCAAACAACCCTGCCAAATAGGTGTTATTATTGCTATTTTACATAAGAATAAACTGAGACTCACAGCGCTAGTCAGTGAAGGAGCTGTAATTCAAAGCCAGTTCTGAGAAACTTCAATCATTGCTTGTTTCATTCCCCATTAATAAAAAATAGATAAATTATTGCAAAAAAATAAAAATATAGGGTCTCTCTCCAGAGCTTGAATGTTACACAATGGCAATAACTACTATGATGCACATGCATTTTAAATGGATGTGTATTTAGAAAACAAACAGAAGATCAGAGAAGTGTTATGCGTTTTGTTCATACAGAAGGCAACTCCTTATTAAGTTTCAAAAGAATCGGTATTTCCTAGAACCAGCTATTGTAAGGTAAAATCCACTCAGTCAACCACCAAGTTTCTCTATGTGTCTGAAAGAGCATACAACACTTTAGTAGGAGACGGTGATGTCAAAACACCTGCTAAACTCAAAGCACATCCAGCTCTCTGGCTTCATTTAGTACCACATCCCTCCTGCCTTATCCTAGCATTAAGTGGGAGTTCTCTCAAGCAAGACAAGGGTGCTTCATTTTTTTATCTCTAAATATCCAGAACTTGGCATAGGACCCAACATCTGGGAGGCATGCAATGTTTCTGCATACATAAACAGATGAACAAATGAATGTACACAATGCCTGAGTTCTTTAGGTTCAAGGAATGTGCAATCACATAGACATCCACCCTGGCACCTGGGCTCTCATGTAGGTCTCTATCATGGCCCAGGGGGCATTAATGTTCATTCTCACATGGGCATCCACTGAGTCCTTTCAGGTAAGGACTATCTCCCTTATCACTGGATCTCTTTATTCCATTTCTTGATACGATAGGTGATCAATTACTCTTTATACAATGACTGAATGAATGAATCAGTATATTCTATAGATTAATTAATAACAGGGAAATTCGTTTTGTAATTTTTATTCATAGTACACTTTGTTTTAGGATATATTTGATATTCAATTCATAACAACCCTAAAAAAAGGAGGGACATCTGATTTAAACATTCTCATCATAAAATTCTGAAAACTGAGGATCAGAGAGTGTAAGTGATATACCTATAAATGGCCCAGGAGTTACAGAGCTGCCCTTGCAACTTGATTCTCCTAATTTATATTCTATCTACACCACATTAGGGAATAATGCTTTAGAGCTCACAGCTCATATACATAACTTCATTTGATTTTAAATGAGTCTGATGAGCTAGGAGGAACAGGTATTATTCCCATTTTACATATGAGGGAATTGAACGTCTGGGAAGTTGACAGTAGCACCCATGTTTGCAGAACGAGCAGGAGCACAGCAGGTATTTGAGAAACACATCAAGTACCAGTTTTCTAAGTCCTAATCCAGTTTTCTTTCCATTTCAGCATGCTTATTCCAGAAAAGAAAAATATTAAATAGTACAAATAAAGAATTTCTAGTGCTGTAAGGAACAGCTTGCTGAGGAGAGAGGCCTTCAGCTCTGGTATTAAAGGAAGGGGTGATGCAACCAGGTGGATGGGCGGGGCTGGGAGTAGGGCTTGCTGATGATGCAGCTGAAATGGACTAGACAGAGGGGAGCATAATTCTGCATAATGAGGAATTAAGTAAGAGCATACCGGTTGCATGGAAACAGCACCTCTTGAATGCCATCTTCCTCTTCAGATTTAACAACAATACTCTCAAGAAACCATCCATTACCTGTTTAAATGGACAAAGGAGATCACGTTCTTTGCATAAAATATACTACTGTTGTGATTTTATTCATAGACTGTCCAAATGTTCAAAATTTGGGTCCAAAATATGCACTTCCAAATTATACCAGGAAAGAAATGAAAGTGTGAGTGAGGGATCTAATTATTCAGAGTAGTAGAAGCAGAGGAAAAGAGAAGATTCCCTATCAGGTACAAACTCTCTAAATTCCTTTAAAAGTATTTAAGGGCCAAGAACAAAAAGAAATAAATTCCCATAAATATGTTTCAGTGCATTATTTATAGAAGGTTGATAGTTTTAAATCATGATGTAAAGTCACAATAATCATCACTTTTAATGGTGAAAATCTAGAAGTTATCACTGAGTACTACATTTTTCAATGCAACTAAATAAAGAGGAAAGAGAAACGGAAGGAAGGAGAATAAAAAGTACTAAATGTTGAGAAAGAAGAAACAGAACTGTCATCATTCATGTGTAATGTGACTTTCTAAATTAAGAACCCCAAGATGTTGCAGAAGATAGTGAGAGATGAGAAAAAATGATTACATAATAAATATATAAAGATCTATTGCATTTCTATTGACCCAGAAAGGAAGCGTTAAGAAGCATAGTTCAACGAAAGCAATCATGTTGAATTGCTATAAAAATTTAAGAATGTAAGGGTAAATCTAAAAACAGATACAGCATAATTTATAGAAAAATTATTGGGGCACCTGGGTGGCTCAGTAGGGTTAAGCATCCAACTCTTGATTTTGCCTCAGGTCATGATCTCATGGATCTCATGGGTAGTGGGATCAAGTCCCCCCCCACCCCCTAGGCTTGGGCTCTGTGCTCAGCAGTGGGTGTGCTTGGGATTCTCTCTCTCCCTCTCCCTCACACACATTCTGGTGCTCTCTCTCTCTCTAAAATAAATAAATCTTTTTTAAAAAGAAAAATTATCTAAATTAAGCATAACAGCAAAGAAGACATAAATAAATAAAGAACTATTTCATATTCCTGAGAGTGAAGAAATTATAGTGATGTCAGTTTCTCTCAAACTAATCTAAAGCTTGAATATAATTAAATCAAATTCACCATAAGTTTTACCAAGAAAATTGACAAGCAAATCATAAAATGTATATGGATATGTGAAGCCCAAGAATATCTCAGGCACTCCTGAATTAGACAGAGCAAGGTAGGCGAATCATCCTTCCAATTACCAACATTTGTTATAAATCTATACTAATTAAGACAATACAGAATTAGTGCTGTCATAGATAAATTGACTGATGCAACCAGAGAAAGGACCTGCATATCCACACAAACTCATTACAAGCAGTCTGTGTTTTGCTCTCGCTGCGGAAGTGTATGAAGGACTGCTCAGTGGGAACGTCATCTTCATCAATGAAGAAAATGATGACTGTTCATTTGTTAAATATTTTTGCCAAAATATCAAAAACTCCCTTACTGTCAGTTAAAAATGTATAAGAAAATTAAAAAATACCAATGCTAATATTTAGTACTCTGTAATTGAAAAACATTAGAAACAGTGAGAATTAAAAGGTATGTTTCTGGGGCGCCTGGGTGGTTCAGTCATTAAGCATCTGCCTTCAGCTCCAGTCATGATCCCAGAATCCTGGGATTGAGCCCCACATTGGGCTCCCTGCTCAGCGGGAAGCCTGCTTCTCCCTCTCCCACTCCCCCTGCTTGTGTTCCCTCTCTCGCTGTGTCTCTCTCTGTCAAATAAAATCTTAAAAAAAATAAAAATAAAAGGTATATTTCTTTGTTAAAAATCTTATCAAGGGTAGTCTAAATGGTGCTTGCCTTCTTTATCTCATCACATAACTTATAATAAAGAGCAAGCATATTTTTAAGTCTGAATAGCCAAAGGAATGTTGAAAAAGAAAACCAAAGCTGGTGGCATCACAATTCCGGACTTCAAGCTCTATTACAAAGCTGTCATCATCAAAACAGTATGGTACTGGCACAAAAACAGACACATAGATCAATGGAACAGAATAGAGAGCTCAGAAATGGACCCTCAACTCTATAGTCAACTAATCTTTGACAAAGCAGGAAAGAATGTCCAATGGAAAAAAGACAGTCTCTTCAACAAATGGTGTTGGGAAAATTGGAAAGCCACATGCAGAAGAATGAAATTGGACCATTTCCTTACACCACACACAAAACTGAAAGACGTAAATGTGAGACAGGAATCCATCAAAATCCTAGAGGAGAACACAGGCAGCAACCTCTTTGACCTCAGCCATAGCAGCTTCTTCCTAGAAACATTGCCAAAGGCAAGGGAAGCAAGGGCAAAAATGAACTATTGGGACTTCATCAAGATAAAAAGCTTTTGCACAGCAAAGGAAACAGTCAACAAAACCAAAAGACAACCGACAGAATGGGAGAAGATATTTGCAAATGACATATCAGATAAAGGGCTAGTATCCAAAATCTATAAAGAACTTATCAAACTCAACACCCAGAGAACAAATAATCCAATCAAGAAATGGGCAGAGGACACGAACAGACATTTTTCCAAAGAAGACCTCCAAATGGCCAACAGACACATGAAAAAGTGTTCAACATCACTCGGCATCAGGGAAATACAAATCAAAACCTCAATGAGATACCACCTCACACCAGTCAGAATGGTTAAAATTAACAAGTCAGGAAATGACAGATGTTGGTGAGGATGTGGAGAAAGGGGAACCCTCCTACACTGTTGGTGGGAATGCAAGCTGGTGCAACCACTCTGGAAAACAGTATGGAGGTTCCTCAAAAAGTTGAAAATACCCTATGACCCAGCAATTGCACTACTGGGTATTTACCCCAAAGATACAAATGTAGTGATCCGAAGGGGCACCTGTACCCCAATGTTTATAGCAACAATGTGCACAATAGCCAAACTATGGAAAGAGCCTAGATGTCTATCAACAGATGAATGGATAAAGAAGATATATATATATACCACATCTTCTTTATGGCAACATTCCCATACACACACACACACACACACACACACACACACACACAGGAATATTATGCAGCCATCAAAAAACACGAAATCTTGCCATTTGCAATGACGTAGATGGAACTAGAGGGTATTATGCTAAGTGAAATAAGTCAATCAGAGAAAGACAAGTATCATATGATCTCACTGATATGAGGAATTCTTAATCTCAGGAAATGAACTGAGGGTTGCTGGAGTGGTGGGGGTGGGAGGGATGGGGTGGCTGGGTGATAGACATTGGGGAGAGTATGTTCTATGTTGAGCACTGTGAATTTTGTAAGACTGATGAATCACAGACCTGTACCTCTGAAACAATACAATATATGTTAAAAAAAAAAAAAAAGAAGATAGTAAGAAGGGAACAATGGAGGGGGGGACATCGGAGGTGGAGACAAACCATGAGAGACTATGGACTCTGAGAAACAAACTGAGGGTTTTAGAGGGGAAGGGGGTGGGGGAATGGTTTGGCCTGGTGATGGGTATTAAGGAGGGCATGTATTGAATGGAGCACTGGGTGTTATATGCAAACAATGAATCACGGAACACTACATCAAAAACTAATGATGTAATGTACGGTGACTAACATAACATAATAAAGTAAAATTTAACAAAAAAAAAGAAGTAAAAAAACAGCTGAGAAAAACAATTGAATCAATTTTGTACAATGCTTCTGGTATGAATTAAAGATATATGTATATATAAGCTCTGAAATAAAAAATTGTGCAATAAAAAAAGGAGGGCACATGATGTAATGAGCACTGGGTATTATATAAGATTGATGAATCATTGACCTCTACCTCTGATACTAATAATACACTATATGTTAATTAATTGAATTTAAATTTAAAAAAATTAAATGAACAATGGAAAAAAAAGAGTGTCTTTTCTATGCCCTTGCATATTGTCTAACTCTTTTCTAAGTTTCTATCAGCTTCCTCCATTTTACCCTCTATGCTTCCAATATCATAAAACATCTCTTAGAGTTGCTTTAATGGGAAGTTTTTAGCAGCATCACTTCCTCTGGGACATGTTCATCATTTTTGTCACCCTCATTCATGGTCGTAAGTTCCCGCATCTAGGTTCCTTGGGCTGTTTATCTAAAGTCTCTCCAACAGTGACAGTGGCAACATTCCCACAGTCAGATATTTCTTCTATAACTATTTCCATTTCTGTTTGATTTCAACTTCCATCCCAGCATTCTCACTTTTATTTCTTTGATGTGCTTGTATCTTTGAATTATACATTTTTGTAAAATGTCATATGGATTTATTATTGAGAGACAAGGAGTCAATATAGCTACAGCCTTCTCTGGCTGTGCATGATGTGTAACAGACTGTGAAAGACATAAAGTGATTGGCTCAGGATCAGGATCAGATCCTGACGTAAAGTGATTGGATCAGATCAAGATGCGCATCTGTTATGTACACAGTGATTTGTGGACTGAGGATTTGGCAGTGAAGTTTGTACTTTACGCAGTTACAGTTAGCATGCCATGATAACTGAAATTTGAACCATGTTGTTGAGGGACCTGTGTTATTTAAATTATTGTCACTAAAATTTGTGCATACAGAAACCATGCAAAGGAAGAACTGCCCTATATCTGACAAAAGTGACTTTGTAGAGCACAACAGGAAAAGACGCAGTGATGATAAACCATGACGTTACAACTGGTTATCCATGTGGGAAAAAGTAAAATGGATTACATCTTTATGTCATACACAGAAATCAACTGCAGGTGGGTTAAATATCTAAATCTTCAGGACAACACTTTATATATTTTCTTCCTTCCTTCCTTCCTTTCTCTCTTTCTCTCTCTCTTTCTTTCATTCATTCTTTCCAATACCTCAGGGGTAGAGAAGGCTTTCTAAAGATAGGAAATCTGATAATTAGAAAAAATACGATATTGTTAAATTGAGACATTAAAATTAGGAATTTCAATTTATTAAAACATACCCCACATTGCACAGATATTGTGGTAGTAACTGCTAGTTGA